GCGCCACAGGGGCATTGATGGCGCTTAGCGGAGGCCGCGGTGGCGGCACCCCGGCAGCATACAGACCAGCGAAGATAGCGTCCTGAGCTGCGGCGGCTTTATGGATACGCGCATGGTAGGCCGCATCGGCGCCGAGGGCCGATCGTATAAGACGCTTCCATCGGACTGGGGACTGCACAACGTACTGCTCCCAACTCGCGAGCCCAGCAGGCAATTCAGGTAAGTCGGCAAGGTCAGTCGTGTATCTCTGGAGCCAACGAAGGTCGTCCAGCAGCAGATGGACCCAGGATGTCGGCTGAGAAATCTGCAGGGCAAGCCGCCTCGCATCTTTGAGCACGAAAACTCGGCCGAGCACGGCAAACACAGCCGGTGGGGCACCTCGGAGAAGTACTCCAAATAACCTCAGCCTGTGCGCCTTTATTTGTGTTGCAGGTTGAGCACGGTGGACTCTGGCGAGGACATGCTCGTCCTTGATGTGGCGCGCGGGTGGGCCTCGTGGGCAGCCGCGAGCGGCGGCCCGATAAGGCTGCAACACGCCAGAGTGCACATAATCGGCGACAGCTGCCGGGAGCGACGGCCATGCGCCCGCATTGCACAGCCGCCCTGACAGCAACAGGCTGTCAGCGAAGTGAACCTTCGCATGGAGGTGGATGCTCGAGTTGCCGTGCACCTTTCGCTGGGGCGCCTTGGCCGACGATGCGGGAGCAGCCCTCCGGTGAAGAACCTCGGGCCACATGGAGTCTTTGTCGTCACACCAGCCGCCGAGATGCTGGTACGTATGCACGAAGTTCAGGGTGAGAGGACCTAGATTCGGCGAGCACACTTGACGAATGCCCTGTGAAATCACCCACAAATCATGTCGCGTCTGCGTGGTGCCAGGCCCGTGGAAGGCCACGAGGGCAGCTGTCTTCCCAGGCGTATAATTGAGAAGCTGGCCGCGACGAGCCATGCCGTCAGCAACTATCACCAGCAATTTTTCCAAGCTGTGCACTACGGTGGCGGCCTGGCCCAAAATCAACAGCGTGCCGTCATCAGCATAAGCGACATTGCTCAGAGTGGTCGTAGACCCCAACTGCGACGGGTCGACCAGGTGAGCCGCTAAGGACCGAGACATGTCCGTGGGAATAGCTGCTGTGACGCCCAGCTCGCGCATCTCATCGTCGACTTCCCTAAGCACGTCTGCGAAACTTAAGGCATACAAGAGATCTGCAAGAGGCTGGCCGGGAAATAATGACCGCTGCGGGAGGGCCAATGTAGAGGCAGCCGCGCATGTAAACCATGGCGCGCGGTAGTGCTCGACCACCTGCGCCTGCGCTGCCAGCGAAACTCCAGCCTGATCCATGAGTGCGGGATGTTGGCTCAACTGCTGGGCCAACTGGTGCATGGCTTCCGGCGGTGGGCCTGCAGCTTTGACGATATGAGCAACATGCTCGTCAGAGAGGTCCGATTTCATAATCAGTTCCCTCAAAGCCCTGTAGTAGGCAGATATCGCATCCACGAAGAGGGCGCCAAAGGTCAACTTGCTAGCTGCGGCTAAGTCCTGCATTTGACGAACAATAAGCGAAGCTGGCGTGGTCCCGCGGCCTGCCAGCCCAGCGAACTGGAAGGGCCCGACAAACTCGGCAACGGTAGGCACAAGCTTGTGGCGCACGCATCGACGGGCAGCCTTGCCAACATGAGACGAGACCAAAATAGATCTGCTGTTGTCCCGGATGGCGGGGTCCACTGTGCCTTTCTTGAGCAGATCTCGATAAAAGCCCCCTTTCCACTGTATGGGCTCAATCTGCATCAGCGTGGACTTGAGCACCAAGGGATAGTAGAGGCGCGCTAACTCGGCCGCAAAGTTGGCCATCATGGTCCCAGAAATGCGGTCGAACCCAGCAGCCGATTTGCGCGTCTTGCTGCAGGTGGCCTCGAAGAGCCGAATTGGTGGCAACGCATCAAGCCAATCGTCGGCGGCCAGAGCAAACCGGAAAGGCTTGCCGTCGAAAGCTTGCGCGAGAGTGGCAGCATCAGCACAGGGAACGCGAGCAGCAAACGCAATGCGCGAGAACTGCTTGACCCACGTATCACCAGCCTCGGCGGCCGTAGAGACAAAATGGCCACTTTCGCTCAGCAAGATGGGCAAGTTGTTTTGCCCGAGCCGCTTTTTTGAACCTGCGCCAGATTGGCGTAGCAGGCTGAAAGCATGCGAATGTTGTCCTGCTGACCAAGAGTCGGATATCTGACTGCCAAGGTCACGCGAATGGCATGCTGCGTCTTGCCCCGTGCTGCGCACAACCAGACAATGTGCGAGTTGGATGCCCCACTCCCGGAGGGCCAGACTGTGGCCACGGCAAGCCACGTACACCACGCAGCCTGGAAAATGCGTATGCCAGACCTTTTCCACCCAACTGCGTCCAAGATCAACTGGCTGCAAGTGCGAAGAGGCAACATCGGGCAGGGCCGCCCAAAAACTCGTCCAGGCGAATGAATCACGAGGGATGATGTCGACGAGACGGGTGTTACCGCGAGGGACCTGGGGCATGAACTCCCAGAGGGCCGTCGCAAGAGCAATCCAACCGTCCATGAGACATTGTCGAGCTTCGGCCTCAGCCTTGAGGGCCAACAAGCCCTGGAATGGCTGCGGGGGGTCCCTGGCTGACAACCGCCACTGGCGCGTGCGAAAGCAGAACCAGTCATGGCCCAACGGCTGCGCCCATATCAAAAACCATGCATGCATGCAGCAGGCAGTAATGCAGGACAGGTGGTGCCGAGAGCATCTCGTCAGCGAGGCTCGCAAGTCCATGTGGCCCAGCGTGCGCTCTGAGATCCACGGCTGCCTGGGCGTGCGGCGGGCCCCCCCAGGCCGTGCCTTGAAAGCGTGTTCGGCTGCAGCAACAACCGCGTCGTCTAAGAGGGCAGCGTGGTCCGTCGGGTGCACTCGGAAGGCAACCTGCGGGACCTCGGCGAGGGCCTGAATGAATTGCTCACGGGCGTCGCTGTCATGAAGCAACTGGGGATCCACTGCTAATTTTTTCCCATCATGCTGAGCCGGAGTGGACATAACAGGAATCGCCAAATTTTTTGAAGTGGAGAAATGGTCATCAATACATTTTGCGAGATCAACATCTTCATCAACTTGGTGCGATGCCACCAACTTGGCGCGATACCAATCCTGTGGAACGCACGCATAATCAATCCGATGGGTGACCCGGGAACTCGGGGACTTAGATGGGGACCTCCACGTGCCCGTCTGTGCTGACGCGGCAGGGGCCAAAGTAGCAGGCGCACAGAGGTGGAAGTCTAAGAGGAACTTGTGAAAGTTGTCACCGGGAACATTTTGCTCTGCAGCATGGTAGGGCCCAACAGCGGCCGAACGAACTGATCCGAGCGTACTATTAGCATCCGTCAACCCCAGCACAGGGCATGGCGTAGTGCGATGTTGCAAGACACTGCTGAGTAATTTCCACCACGTGCGCTGTTCAGCAGCGGGCCGACGACTATGAGGGGCATGAGCAACAATAATATCGCAATAGAGCCCTGGCGCCCGCACTGCAACCAGAAGAACCGACGATGACTTATACAACACCCTGAAATGCGAGCGTTGAAATCGACGGCCTACTTGATATTCCAAGCCCAGGTGGACCCATAACGAGACCCCGCCCTTGCCTCGATGGTCAGCGGCAGCGTGCAGAATAAAATAGGGATCAGCTTGGACTTTGCAGCCCCTTGGTGACCGAGACTCGGGGGTGCCCACAAGTAAATAGCCAGCCTTGGCAAATTGTGCAGCTAGCCCCAGAAGTCTGCCGGGCAACGTGACCCCCGCTAGGCTGGCCTTGCTCTTGCCCTTCCTCGTGAGGCTCAGGGTGAGGACATTGGCGACAGCAACGCGAACTACATGTGCAGCATGAGGGGGCGCACTCGTCGACACTGACCTCTCCACCACTTGCTGCGCAAATAACTGGCAGACGTTCGTCAGCTGTTCACCCGGCGGCATCAATCTGGCAGGGGTGGTAGGAGGCAAGCTGATATCAGGGGCATGTGCGGCCGCTGCCGTGATCCATATCCAAGGTAGGCGAGTACCTGAAATAAGCAGCGGCGCAGCTGGTGAGAAATCGTGCAGGGGAATATCCAATAGCCCTTGCGATGCAAGTGTTGCTAAAGTATCTGCTAATTCGTTCCACGGGTGCGCTGCGTGGCCGTCGACGTGCAACCAAGCATGCAGAGGCGAGCGTACCCGCAAGGCCCGGGTGACGGCGTCCAGCAAGACGTGGTAGTCGCCGCATGCTTGAAACAGTGTGCCACTGCGTGCCGTACGAACGACTATGATGTTACCGGTGTGAAATGCGACAGGAACGTGCATGTGCCAAGGCTGCGAGAGCACCCAGAGACAAGCCCATAGGCCACCCTCAAACTCGGCTGCTGTGGAAGGCTGAACAAATACATCTTGGAGAGATGGAACTGGCTGTGCAAGATAGCCTAGGCACACGAGCTGTCCTGCGGCAAGCTCGCCAAACACTACACATGACCACGACGGCGGTCCTGTAAGCGATGGAACGGCGGAGCCTCCAGGACCGTCAGTGTATATGTGCATGGCCCTGAACTCATTGGCTTCCCAGAAATCCGGACTGAGCTGACCAACCGCCTCTCTGGTGCTGCTGTGTAGATAAGAATCAAGGTGTGCTGGGCAAAACGGGTGTAAGGAGAAGGGCCAGGGGGCAAGGAGGGCGTCGAGGACATCCGCACAATCTGGGATTGGGCTGCTGGGTGCGGAGTCCTGCGGGCAGGCCGCGGCGACGGCGGCGGCCTGCTCCCGCCCATCTAGCCCGCTTCTGAGGCCCCTCGGGCGACCGCAAAAAGCGGCGCCATGCCCGGGTGCCATCCCTCAGCGCGGCCGACTCCGACAGGGCCGTCCGCTGAGGGCGGGGCCGCTGCTGGTGCTGGTGCTGTGGCTGCCGCCGCAGCGCCCTCGCGAGCCGCAGCAAGCGCGCCAGGCTGATACTCGTGAGCGGGGCCGA